AAACTCACATCTGTTGGTGTGTACCGCGTAACAGTCATTAAGCACCAACTTAAGTAAACACGGATTAATGCAAATTTACCAAACGACTATTAAATGGAGTAGCTGTAAAAAGTCGAACATTGATAACACCATGCTGTAGGACTACCGCAATCTTGCATTAAATTCCATGTGGTTATGTCCACGGTTAGTGCCCCTTTCCGTGGTTAAGGTTTAGCTTTACCTTGAAAGGCTTGGGTTTATGAAGGTTGGTGTTATAGTTAGGGTCAATGTCAGGGCCAGGAGGCTAGAGGTTAATTTAAGAACACTGAATCGGTACCGCCTAGAGGATGTTGCGAGTTCGAATTCCCGTGTTCTACCCCGTAACTCATGGAAACTACACTTTCCCACTGACAACGCAAGCGGTCTTGGATGTATCCGATCTCTAAGTATTCAGTGGGCCCTCTCTGTCTACAGAAGTGGCACACTAAAGACGGCAGCCACAAACGTTCTCCAATTAGTTTGTTATTGATCGTTTCATTTTGGAAGTCGTCTGCTTGTTAGCTGAAAATTTACTAAAAAAAGAGGTGAACATTTTTTTAAAAGTCTAGAAGCCCGCTAATTTATAACGTGCTCCACTTTGTGTGAATACTTCCTCGTCTAACTCAGATTTCCGAGCCTATGACGACAACAGAAACGACATTTCCGGTCTTCCATCTAATTTGCAGTAACTCTCTATCCAACGTCAGAGGACCACGCACATTATACGGCTCTGCCGCCGCCGCTGCTGCTGCTGCTACTGTTTTAGTTAAAAGCCTAGGTCGCGTGCACTTTTCCATCCTCGCGGTGGTATTTGCTAACCGCGCTGCACGGTATCCGCTGTTCCCTTCATCTGTTTTTTTTCTACCGTGGTTTGAGGGGGCAGGCTAATACAGTTTATCCCAGGCGGCTGCTTTATCTCCGGCCCGCCCCAATACCGTCTGGTGCTTGCGGGCAGAGGTGCGACCTGAGTGGAGGTGATGCCTCCTCACAAATAAGGTAGAGATTGGTCGTTGCTATGGTATCCGCTGGGTCTTACAGCCTCGGAGTCCTCACGCCAAGCCTATGGGTCAGTTGTGCACCCCAATTGGTTAAAATGCCCCTATTTTTCGTTTGATTATTACCCTTAGAACTTCCAGCAGTTCCGAAACGTCGGGTTCCCTGCTGGAGGACCATCGCTAAGACCGTTTACTGTATACTTTCGTCTTATTTGTGGTGGCCTTGCTTTTCTTTCATTTCTAAGTGCATAAGATGCAATCAGCGACTAGACTAGATGGCGCACACTAGATAAGGTAGGCTTTCATTTGCGTCATGTGGGCGACCTTTGCACCATTGTCTCAGGGGTCTAGTGTGGACGCATCCTAAGATAAGGTATCTTCCGCGCTCATCGTCGGCCTGCAATATTAGCCTACCAGCAGTTATTACATACATTAAATATGCAGTTGGAGATGATAAGGCAGACTGCTGGAAGGAGAGCACCAACGCAATATGGGTTTTATGTCAGGAAATTTTGTTGGCTGCTTGGAGAATCTCCAACAACAGGCTGAAACGTCGCAGACTATGAGGAGACGGCATTATAGTCTACTAATGAAATAGATAATACCGGGAAAAGTCCGCGTTTTCCATGTCGCCTCTTTCAGGCTTCTGGTCGTAATCCACACTCGGGGATTTTAAGCGGAAAACGATGGCGTCCATGCTACTGCCCATTCAGGGGAATTGCAGCTCAACCAGCCGAAATAGAAGACTCGGGAACACGAACTCCAACTAGCGGTTGTCGCATATCAGCTATGGTAGTGGGCACTTTCCGGTGGCGTTACGGATCCTACCCGTCTGTTAACGCCTTAGATCTTAATCTACAGACCGCACGGGTAGGTGTATAGCGACCAAAAGATATGTAGAAGGAAGATGGGCAAACACCAGGAATACTCGTCTAACCGTTTCTGACTTATTAGCCACCGGCAGCCTGTCTTACATAATCCTTAGCTTTTCAAGTTGGTTTTTTGGAGCACTAAGTAGACTCCCATTGCGGTGGTTTTTTAGTGCAATGTTTTGATTTGCAAAAACAGCTCCAAATTACGTGAGCCTGATAGTCATCTTGTGGATTCTAGATGTGTAATCATTTACCGTACTAACAACAAAATCAAGAAACGCGTGTTTCGCGGATCTTGTGTCGCTGGCTGATGCGGCTGCTGGGGGGTCCGGCTCATCATTGGGTCCCTTAGCTTTCTACATGTGTTTTCTAGTATATGAACTTCAGTTTTAACTTGCCTTGTTTACTTTCCGAGGAAATTAATGCTCGAACGTAAAGTAAATCTTTCGGAGCAGACCTTTTCATACCCTAACGTTCATATACCAGAAAGCACATAGGGAAGGCCGGGAGACCAACTAATGGGCCGAGCACCTCGCAGTTACGTCAGGCAGCAGCACAAGATCGGCGAAACACGTGCCTCTGGGCTTTTGGCTAATACTTCTACCGTTATTACGGTAAATAGCTACACAATTCTATACTAATGGCTGCCTTTTGGCGGTTTATGGATATTACGCTGTTATTCCGCAGTATCTGATGGATTTCAGCCCAAATATCCGTGTCAAATTTTTAACCGTGCCTGAAAAGGACTGTTCCGAAAGATACGCTCCAGGCTCGCGCATGAATTTGCTCGGAAATTAAACAAGGCAGGATTCCCGATGTATTACTTAGAAAATCCTTCTTGGGCAGTCAGCTTACTGTATCAGATTTGCTGGATTTCAGACGTTGCAGTAGGTTGGACGGGTGAACTTTACCCAAATGTTATTAAGCCTGCGTCGTCTTATGGGGCCTCGTTGCTCAGATTGTTAGAGCGTTGTCTGTACTAAAGCCCTTCCTTGCTTTCGCTGGTTCGAATTCCACCAAGACATCGAGTTTTTCACAATTGGGTCAAATGGAATGTCGGATATTTATGTACAGAATTATGCCTATTTTCTCAGTAACTACGATGCATATTTGGAGGGGTTTTCAGTGACAGCTACTTGCATTTGGTCCACACTTATCGAAGGCGATGCTTTGCAAAAATTGCTTTGTAAAACGTTTTTGTTTTTCTGATATGAATGGGGAGTTCTAAGGGTTGATTTACTTTTTTTCTAAATATAGCGACTTAAAGTGGTTTAGAAGTAGAATTGTCTTGTTTCATGCAATTTCAAACTCTTTTGCAGACCTTTTCCTTCTTGCGCTTTTCCCGCGTACTAAATTTAACCTAATTAACGACTCTCTCAAGGACGTCGAAAACTCAAGAAGTTGCTTTTTAAGTAAGTCATAGACGGCAAACGTATGTTTTCCATTATCCATCATCAGCCAACGACAAGCACTAACAAGTGCGATGAAAGAAGAGTGTTTTTGAGTTGTCTGAATTTGTCAAAACGTAGGGTGGGGGGTATGGTCTAGTTCTTTAGCCAGGCGTATGAAAAGGGTGATACTTGGGTGCATTTGCCTTGTCGCTCTGGGTTTTGCCAAGGCGCGTTAAGCAGCGGTTCGAGTCGACTACTACGCGCTTGATGTCAAGAGCTGAACTCAAAAAGCCCTTAATATTTTTAATTCGACCATCTGTTACTCGGAATATTTTGTCCCGTGTCTTCAAAGCGATTCACCTGATCATCAAATAGTAACTGAAGTACCGCATACTGACACGTACAACCGGCATACAACAACCCTTCGAATTGAAACGGTTTGACAATATGCGTTATCAGAAGACGAGTTGGCGGGCATACGTAGCTTTCGATAAATTCTCGTCGGGCCCGTACAGTTATATGGGAACGAGGTAGAAGTAAAAACCCGTCAGTGATATGATATATCGATTGAAGTTCGCAGATAAGCACAGGCTGGTGTGGGAATGTGGGGGAGTGGAGAGGAGTAATGGAAATGACTGTCAGGGGCGGGGAGAATTGCACCATTAGTCGACCTTCGACCACTGTCGGCGCAGATAATGAAGGTGGTTCTTCTGCGCGCACAAGATTGGTTTTCTCGACCGCATCTGCTGCTGCTAACAGGCGCTAGCCCAGTAGTTTTGGAACTTATAGACCACACAAAACGCTTTGTTGGGGTCTACATGATGTCTGGAATCGGCAATATGCGCCAGAATGGCGCTGCTTATGATCCTGGTTTCGCCTTTTCCCAACCATGCCGGGAGGTGTTCCCGTATTCTCTTGGATAAGTGCTGACTCGTGCGATAAGTGTAACCTGCTCCACAGGAGCAAGTGAAGAAATAGATGCACAATGAAGTGGTTTGAAGTGGTAACTTATCCTTACCTTCTCCGCCGAAAATGGGGTTAGTAGATAAGGAATATGCCGTATTATGAATTTTCGAAACACCATATTACTATTTGGTTGAGTAAAAACCCATCGATAGGAGACTATTGCATCTGTTTCCATGTAATAATGGCTTTCTATTAACCAGTCTTACTGTTAATGATAAGATTCAAAAGGCTCTAAACTAGTCTCTTTGTGACGTCTATCAATAGGCGGTGATTTAATTCTAACATGCAAATTCTAACATTAAATTCTAACATGCAAAACCACTGCAGTTGACAGTTCTCGAAGTATGCAGTCAAAATTCGTATACTTTACTAAAATGGGAATCAATATGAAGTTCACTAGAAGGCACGGAAAGCTGCAGACTAGGTGCGTTATAGTTTCATCGAACTATGGGAAGTATCTGTAATACCGATTTGCATAAGCGTCTGGTCCATACCCAGCTATGATCAGTTTGATCTTAAAGTGCATCCAATTGAACTCAGCAAACGCGTCAACAAGGACAAATTTCTCTATAAGAATCACCAGCAGTAAGCATTTTCGAACCAGAATTTACTTTCTTTCCCTCTTATCTGATTAAATTTTTGATAAATGAGGCACTCAGCGCACTTCAGCCGACTCCACCCCGCCATTCTCTTATAAGTAAAAAAGGTCTCCAGAGAATTCATTCCAGAGCACTCACCATTTTACGGCTGCGGCGAAGATGAAGGCCTACAATTGGACTTGCGAGGTAACCGCTTCATAAACAGAAGCATGATGAAAACTTACCCGGTCACTTACGTAAATGAAAGCCAATACTACTCGTCAACAAAACACGAATTAACGAAGGCTCACTGACGGCAAAAACGAATGTGAACATTCACAAGGATGAGGGGGATGAGGAGGAGAAGGAGGAGGAGAAGGAGGAGGAGGAGAAGGAGGAGGAGGAGGAGGAGGAGGAGGAGGAGGAGGAGGGAAGGAGGTATTTTGATTAAGTATCATGACGCCTCCAGAGGTGAGCAAGCTTTTAATGTCAAAATATATTCTAACCTCTCCTAACAGAAAGTGATGGCGATGATAAAAGCGCCAGCCAATTGCTGGTGAAAAGCATTTCGTTCGGAGTTGTCGGGAGGTCGATGTGACTGCCGCAAGTGTCCTATGCAGCTCTAGCGTGATGCGTCTACCGTGATCCTTAACCAGGTTAGAAGGTGACGACTGACTTACGCAATAGCTTGAAGTTCACTACAGGCCCTCCCTGCCAACTGGCTTCCTCGAAGTACTTCTTATGTCATAGGGACCTATGGTAACTCCACCCCGCATGCCAGGTCTCCATTATTACCCCAACTAATCCATCACACACCCAGCCAGTTTTTTCGGCACCATCAAAGACGACCGCGTGCGCGATCGTGACATTGTTATCTGTCTGGACATACAAGGAATCCATTCTTGCACGGGTTTATTGCGTTTGTTATCACCTTGCCGTCCTTTCGACATAGTCGTCTTGACACCCATGGTCTACAATCAAATGAACAGCACTTCCCTATCGCAACAGCCTACGCGAGAGTGAGACGCTGGCAGAGGAAAGTGCCTCCGGCGCAAGTTTGAGTCAATGAACGTGTCAACACGCCTTTACCAACGGCACGTCTGACTCAGCTTTGAATCTGATTGGCCAGTTGCAAGACCGAGTATGTGAACGTCGCACAGTTGTGGTGCGTATGCACTCGGAGTAGGGTCATCACGCGTGCTCCCTCCCAGACCGCAGTTTGGGTGAAAAAGCCGAGCAAATGTAGGACAACTAGATTGGGTGAAGGCCAAACGTACCGACGGTACTATTATCGGCAGCATGGGAGGCTGCAACTGGCGGGAAGGGACCAGGACAAAAGGAGCGGCTGCAGAAAGCCGGTAGTGGACTTGTTGATTTGGACGGCGTCGGCAAATCCGTGTGGCGTGTCGATATTTGTTGAACTAAGTGAGAAAATATCACTGGCAGTAGGTGAAGTTAAACAGTGGATCATGGGAGGGCGTCCGGATTCTGGCATTGGTTACTGGCCTCCTCTGTCAGATAGGATTGCAACCGTGGCCCCGAACCCGATGGGTCGGGGTCGTAAAAGGGCATTTGGCAACCTTCAAGACAGGATTCGTTTTACTAAATTCTCCGTATCATGCTCACATCAAAGGACGCAGTTAATTTTTGCAGTTGCGTGTTCACACAACGTCGGGGTCACCAGTGTTGCAATATACAGTTTAAGTTCTAACGAGGAGTACTTCTCTAAATCTTAATCCAACAGGCAAATGTAGAGGATATTCGCTAAACAGCAGCGGGGAACGATGACGTTGGACAAATGCAAAGCATGAAGATCTGGTCGTAGACTGTGGATTTTCCTGCTGTTGAACTTATTTTTATATGTGTTTTAAAAGGCTTGCTAACCGCCCGATTTTTGGAATAACAGCTGGCCCTTGCGATAACTTATATTTTGTCCTCATTGGCTGCCCTGCAATATGCAGTAGCATCCAGGGTATTCTTCTCTTTACAACAGACAGGGACCCCAGAAATAATAGATGGCCCTGCTCCTACGGGGGATTAGGACTGTAATAAATAGTGTCCGAAAATGAACAAACTTACGAGGTCAGTTTCCTGAAGCAGGAGACACAATCGCTGGATCAAGAGATTTTTCAGCCTGACGTTTCGGATTCCTGCTCGAACCCATCATCAGGGTCAAAAGCAGATACGGGTCTGCTTTTATCTCAGTTTTTGTCTCTGATGATGGGTTGGGGCAGGAATCCGAAACGTCAGGCTAGTAACGCTTTTGACCAAGCGATCGTGTCTTCTTCTTCAAGACTGCTTCCTGAGACTCGTCTCTTCGCTTCTAGAGGACAGATTCCGTTGGTTAATGCCGCCGATATAATGAGTCAAGGCGAGGGCTGGTAGCATCCGATCACCTGCATTGCAGCCTTCTGCGCATGTTACTCAACATTAACCCGACGGGCGTCATGTTCTCACAAACCAGTTCTTGATTACCGACTGAACGAGGATTCGTTCGTCGAAACAAGAATTTCACTCGTCTGAGGCTTTAGATCACACGAAAACCCATCGTCAGGGGCAGCCTCAGGAAAGGGTACGGAGCAGAAGAGGTTACAGTTTTCACGCCCATTATAGTTAACAGCTCCCGCACGCATCTACAGTGATCGTCCATAATGTGGGGTTTGTACGGTCGACTGCGTCCTAGTCGTTAATTGCCAAGGTTTCATCATTGGTGTTGATTAGATGCGTGACAATAACTCGGCAATTTGACTCGCTGATGCTGGCACTGGGAACGTTATTCGTCCGCGCTATCTCCGCCCGGCCAGGAAAGGGTTCAGCCCTGGTTATGGAGAGGGGGCAGAGGGTCATTGCGCCTGTGAGTGGTTGGAGTGAGAATCTGAAACGCCAGGCGAATAAAATTCTTGCTCCAACGTCCCCATTCCCTACTTCTCAGACTTCTATTTGCTTCTGTTTGACCTTGTCGAATGAAACAGAAGTTAAACAGCTGAATGAGATGGATTCACGCTTCAGGAACTGCTCCGTCAGTTACACAAGCGTAACTGAAATGTTCGAAGTACTTGAAGTAAAAGGCTTTTGATGTCAAGCGACACGATCACTGCATTTACGCTGACTCGTAATCTGTTGTTCTTCTCCGGAAATGTACAACTGTGATGTCATGTGCATCTGACAATACTTCACGAATTTCAGATGTCAAAACGTTAGTGCCCACTTTTTAGACAGTTCGCAGAACCGTGTCCCGACAATGTGTCTCAGTTTATTGGCCATGCTTTTAGCTGTTGACACCCATTCGTCTTACCGGATTCATGCAGACAATCTTTTGGGATAGGGAGCCAATTGTTTCATTTATAATCGAAAAGTCAGTTTGGCAAACACGTGTTTTCGATAACTCGTCATCAGGCAAAGGTGAAAAGAAATTGATCTCGAGTTCTATTCTCGCATTTCTTGTCGATAGGAATCACCGAGTCGATGCCAAAGAAGCCGTTCAGGTTGTCTACTGGACACCAGCAAGCTTCTCCGGAGGCCTATGCCAACGGGCGCTAGCTACAGCCGAGGCAGTGGCTATACGGCTAGCGAATCCAATGCTGTGTTGTCAGGAGACTTTGACACAAGCGCTCTGTATTCTGTGGCCAACGCCGACCCCAACGTCGCCCCAACCTCCTGATGCCAAGGTGTGTGCACAAAATACACGACGTACTCACAGCCTATACTCCCCCTCTTCCTCGCCCCCTGATTGTACGTCGCCCCAACCTCCTGGTGGCACTGCTGTGTGCTCAACGTACCTGACTTACAAGCATCACTCACAGCCTATGCCACCCCTCCCCCTAGTCCCCTTGGCCCAATGACCATAACACACCGACCGCTTCATAGCACGACTCGCCACGCGGGTGGCGTGGGAACGATGAGTGTTATTAGCCCCTGAATCACTTATAAACACTGTGAATTTCGCATATTTTCAACTCCTACGTAACTGTTTTGGTCTGATGACGAGTGACCGAGAACATGTGTTTGCCAAATTCACTTTTCAATTTTTTATTTATAGTGCTGTGTGGCCTTGCTACATCCCTGGTAAGGTAGCATACGATACCTGGTGGCCACCTCGAAAAGTGGCCGCTTCCTCTGTCTCCTTGATAAAGTTCGATCTACGGCTGTTCGCTAAGTCTATTACGATAAAGGCATTGTTTTAAAATGTATATTAATCGTACGAATTTGCCCATTAGTACAAAATCAGCACGATTTTACATCAAAAAACACCCCCGTGCATTGTGGAGACCCAAGAGTTTTCAAGACCGGTATGAACGCCAAGCGACTATGTCTCGGCATGCCCACACAAATTTAATTTAGTTCATGAACTCGCCATTTGCTTTCCTCGCCATTTCCCTTTCCCTTGTCTTCCTCGGTCCAGATATTATATCGCGTTCATCATCTCCCGAAGAAAACGAAGAAGAAGAGAGGGCGAATTCATGGACCATATTGTATTCGAACTGACGTTTCGGAAACTTCCTCGTTTCCATCATCAGAGTAGCGTAATTGTTGCATCTGCCGGTCTTGATTTGTTCAGTCTTGCTGCTTGCCTCGAACTTTGACCTGCCTGTTTGCCGCTGACTGGCTCAGACCTCCCCGGGGCTGACCGCTGACAGGTCTGCGTGATCTTTGTTCCCTTTGGGGTCGGCGTAATTGTAGTCAAATCAACGTGCCAGTTGGCCTCTCCACGTCAACCGGTGGACTGATCGGTCGTTGCTGTTCATGTGGGCAGCATTCAGCTTCGCGGGCGCATCGGTGAGACAGTGTTCGGCTTTGGTCACATGACCTCTGGCCCCCAACTGCGCTCTTTTCTGTGAGCGTTGACTCTCGGTCCCGCTTGCTCGCTTGCCTTACTGGTCCTGTCCGGACTGATCCCAGCCTTGTACGCAGCGCCTGGTAGGCGGGATGTAGATCTATAGCACGGTTGATTGTGCCAGCCGAGGACCAACTTTAGAGCACCAGTCTGGCCATCTTCTCATTGGCTCGTCCAATTACCCTCGCTTTCACAGGGGCAAAATCGTGGTTCAGTTCTCGTATGTGGCCGTAGACCAAAGACAGCTTGTCCTTGCGGGAGATGATGAACGCGATATATATATATATTGAAAATAAGTAAGATTCTTTGGGAAGGGAATAAACTTTAATGAGTAAATTTTCGAGTCTGGATCCCCAGCTCGTCGTCAGACTTTTGGGCAATGTACAAAAACAGTTAACTATTTAACCGTGTCAAACAAATGATTCTATGGTTGGCCGAAGTCTGCGCCAATGCGCGTCAACGATTTCGTCATCCCTTCGGCATTGGCTGCGCTCGCTTCCATTTGTCCTTGAGAAATTTGTATGTGGCATCTAAATCGATATGCCGATTGATGCATGCCTCATCTGAGTGCATTGCTTCCAGGAATTGCCCAAAAGTCTGACGACGAGCTGGGGATCCAGACTCGAAAATTTACTCATTAAAGTTTATTCCCTTCCCAAAGAATCTTACTTATTTTCAATTAAATTTCTTGGGATGCCCGTTTTCCAGCATATATATATATATATAATGTTAGGGGGCGCTCACCGATCGTTCATATATATATATACGTGTCAATTAAGCTTGTGGCCCTCACTGTTGCGTTCTGCCCGTCCGCCTGCTCACTACGGGTAGAACGAACATTGTGTCACCGGACACAAACCACATATAAAGCGTAAGCAGCTCACAAAGTGAGCAGCTGGCTAGATGCAGACAGCTGGCTTACGGTTGGTACCGATCGTCAGTACATCATAGGCCTGATAAAATGAGGCATTTAACATTAATGTAAGCGTTTGCCTCTGGATGTTGTCGTTAGAATCTCACTCGCCAATAGGAAGCTGGCAGGCAGGCGGACAGATCGGGGTCGAGTGAGATCCTAATCACAAATGTGAGGATCACGTGCTTAATTTACATGTTTATATGGCTTACTTCATAGGGCCTGTGACGTACTGATGATCGGTAGCAGCCGCGAAACAGCTGTACGCTTCGGATCTGAACTGCCTACGTGATATACATGTGTGATAGAGGGGTGCTCACCGAACGTGTTACGGAACTCACTTATCCTGTTGTGCATTGAGGCTCTCTCTCTCTCGAGCTCAACCAGCAGCCGCATAGCGGCGCGTAATATAGACAGGATAACATTACCGAAAAGTACAAGAAAAACTCGGATGGCCATTTCGGGCTTATTTGCCGTCACTAGTCGACCAGCGTTTGGAACTCATGAGGCTTGATCTAGAGACCTGTTAGTCAAAAGTCCAACGCTCTAAGCACTGAGCCATGGACTTGTTGTTCTGTTGGCTTCGATTGGTTGGAAACAATGGTGAAGGGGCGCTCACCAAACCGCATTACGGGACACACTCGTCCCCTTGTGCCTTGGGACTCAGTCTCGGGCCAAACCAGCGCACAATGGCGCGTAGTATAGGCAGAATACCATTACCGACAAAGGTAAGGGAGACTGGGATGGTCCTTTTTGGCTTATTTGCCGTCGAGAGACAGTCATGCTTAACTTGGTGAGGATCAAGAGAGAGGGATAGAGCCCCAAGGCACAACGCGACGAGGAAGTTCCGTAACACGATCGGTGAACGCTCCTCTACTATTGTGTATTCCCGATGGCAGCCGACGGGACAACGAGCCTATGGCTCAGTGGTTAGGGGGGTTGGACTTCCAACTAACGGGTCGTTAGTTCGAGCCCCAGGTTTTCCACACTTCGGGATTGGATATGTCTGCTAAGCCAGAAACGGCCATTTCATTTTCCCTTGTCTTTGTCTGTAATGTTATTCACCCTATATGTGCATATATGCATTGAAAGATTGACATTCCAAGAAGAAAGGTCCTTCGGAAATGAAATAAACCGTATCCAGTAAATTCTTGACAGTGGTTCCCAAGGTCGTCTTCAGACATTTGGCAATTACTTATAACGATCAAAATTTTAAAAATGCCAAAAGTCGATACTGTCCTTCTTATCCATGCCAATAATTCGGGGCCTGGTTTGACATCTCGTGCTGGTTGGCTGTGACCTCTTCCATCTTCCCTGAGACTGTTGTACACGGCGTCTAGTTTAGCGTGCGGTCAATGCATGATTCAGTGGAATATATGGCCCTCAAAAATCTTCGGACATTTTTAGATGCACAGACTCCAGCAATACATATTTTGTCCTAAACAAATTCATGGCCGGTTCCCAGTTTATGCGTGGCAACTTGGGACAAGTGGTCTCCCTTCTTAACTGACGGCTGATGTTTGTGTATGCGTATAGTAGCCGGCTTTGCAGTTTGACCACGTTACATTGCATTTTAGGTGCCACACGCAATCTTGTAGACGACCTCCTTCTTATCTAAGTAGTTAACCGTATTTTTAGGGTGAAAGAGCTTGCTGAGTAACATGGTCGTCAATTTTTTGCGCCAACTGTATTTGATGTTTCGTCTGATGCATTTCAATGAGTTCAGACACCTTTTAATGTAAGGATGTGTTCGCCGGATTTACTGTCTGGGTGCTTGATCCGAATAATCTATTTACCTGTCTTTTTCTCTTAATCCCTGTTGTCTCAAGCACCGGCGTACAAAGTTTCGAGGGTACCCATTTTGGGAAAGGTGTCTGAACAAATAAATAAGTCCTGTTTGGTTACTATTGTTGGCTGACCAGTGTTTTTGCTCGATTAAGTCGGCAGGCAATACCGTCCCGTTCGTCGGCAAAAAGGCGATTGCTCTTATAATGTCAAACAACTGTCGCAGAAGTTTTTTTGAGGGAAATAGATGTGTGAAACGTCTCGTCACTTATTCGCTGCACGAAGATGGGCGGACCATTAGCGCGGTAGGAGTGATGCGGGCAAGGAGTAATGCTGAGTTCTGTGCCGGGAGGGGAGGAGGGGAGAAAAGAGTTAGAGCTATGGTATGGGTCGCTCACCGATCGTTCTTACGGAACTCATTCGTTCCGTTGTGCCTTATGGGCTCTCTATCGAGCCCAACCAGCGGCCGCACAGCGGCGCATGATATAGACGGAATGGCATTACCGACAAAGACAAGAGAGACGGCTATCCGTGTTGGAGGGGAGGGGAGGGAGGGAGGGTGGGCGGGAAGGAGAATGGTAGGTTGGCGGAACTGCGGGCGCCTGGATTAGCGAAGACTGATGGGGCGTGTGGCTTAGCTTAGTGAGACGTGATCTGAGGCCCTCATAATGGGCATCTAGGTCAACGTGGCGGTGGATGCTGACTGCGTTAGAATGTCATACCTCTAGGAATTCTCTCGCCCGTTTTGTATCACCCGCGGCGATGACCTCGGTGGAATCCCAATTGAAACGGTGCGACCACTGTCATTGTTCTGTCGCGTCAACTAGTTTAGTGCGACTGTCTCACTTTCTCTTTAATCTTCATTTTGTCTGACGACGGGTTGATGTCACCAATTCAAAAATTCATGAGTACAACTCGAATTTTTTCGAAGAACCTTTTTTTTTTAATTATACCGTCTCGGAATGCATGCCGCTTTTGCTCTACCTATATATATATTTTTTTTCTTAGGAATGGATGCATGCGATTCATCAGCTTTTTGAAGTAAACAAGCTTCGCATGAGTAACAGGGTCCACGAGCAGACAATCACTTATCGGGAGAAAGTCGATCCAGCTATGATAGCAGAGGGGAGGCGAGACTTTCGAGAGTAGATCTATACAGCACCGCTTCGGACTTATTCTCATCTACCCAGGCATTCGCAATCACGATTTACATCTGAGACCGGAAACACAAACACGCGCTCACACACCGGGCGCAGCCGGTCCATCTCTGGGGTCTTCCAGATGGATCGGAGAGCTCCGCCGGCTCTCCA